GTTTATGTCAATTAGTAGTGCATGCTCCGCGCTAGTGCATTTTGGAGAAGAGCATACACCTAAAATTTAAGTTGAAAATAATAAAATCATGTTGTACAAAGCTCGAATATATAATAGATATTAGTATTACTAGCTAAAGCAAAACATAATATTTTCAAGTTGACAAGCAATTAAGTCAATAAAGCAGCTCAATAGACGATACATACGTGGTGATGCAAGTGAAGTTTAATTTCCATAGTCCTTGTGAAATAATTTCCAAAAACGGCTAATATCCAATAAATAATGCTCTTTCTATGTATTTATAGTTAACACGACATGACCAAGTAATCAGCCTATCAACATACGACACTTATCTTCATGTTATACCTAAAAATAAACCTGTTATCATGCGTAAATATACTTTTTCCCTATAAATACAACGGTCATTTTACAAACAATAATCTTCAATATACACTCAAGCCACTGAGCAGATCTAGTCCGGCCACCTGACACGAAGTTGTCCTCAATTTCTAACCTCAACAATTATTTTGTAGATTCAGTTGCTCCCCATTATATAGAGATTGAACACAGTGGTGAATATTTTTTATGTAATGAGATCTTACAATTATATGGAATCACATTTTCTGGATCCAGTTGCTCTCCTTTTGATGAGGACTTTCATGTACATATCTCCAAGGTTATTGCTCCTTGTGTCAACTTAAATTGTAAGGACCCTGGTGCCCACTCTCTTACCCAATTTATCTGCATTTAGTTTTTGAAATTATAGAGGATACATTAAGAAACTTTACTGCAAGTAGAGTAAGAAGTATAAGATGTCGGGAAATATTTTTTTGGTTCACTTTTATTGTCTCTTTTTGAAAGGAGCTTTTTAACTAATTTAACAGCCAATGTAAATTCTACCACTATTAAAATGGTTCATGCACACGAGGAAAGTTGCCTGAAATTTCAAATGGTTCTAAAAACAAGCTAACATTTTATTTTCCAAAACAAAAGCAACTTATTCCTGAGAGATTCATGAATCTCAACAAAATCAATGTTACATTGTAATAATTTCCTAAAATAGAATTTTTTTTTTCTATCAGAAACACCATCAAAATCCTAGCTAGGTTTTCAGGCCTCCACCTTGATCATATGAAGAGTTTGGATTCCTCAACCTTGTGACCTTGTCTTATAAATAATGACGTCAAGTACAAATGGGAGTTGAATGTGTATGCGCAATATATAGAGGGAGTAAGAAGAAAGTATTTTGAAAAGCGGCAAACCTAGAAGTACTATTTCCATTATAGCATAGAAGAATCTTCATAAAGTAGTAGCAAACTAATGCGAAACCTCTAACACGTGCCAGGTCGTGGGACTCCAATATCAGCATACCTTTCAACTCCTTTAGAAAATCAGTGTAATCATATTCCTTATATTCCAAGATACCTTCATTTGCAAGCCAATATGCTGGTTTATTACCTTCTCTTAAATTCAAGTTGAATGAATGATTTTCGGATTAAATGTAAACTTATCGAGAATATTAAATGTAATATATTGATGTTTATTACAACAAAACAACAAATGAACCTAAAATGTCGGCTTGAGTAAACTAGGGTTAGTTTAAATATAAATCCAACGTATCAATAATTTTGGACGTAACCTTTTATTTATTTGTTACAACAAAACAACAAATGAATAAAACATAGGGTTGAGTAACTGTATTTAAATCTAAATTCAACTTCTATTAAGGAATATTATAAAGTTCAACTTTTATTTTTCTATTGAAAAAGAATGACAGATTAATATAAACATTAAGTTGAGTTAACATGATTTAGTTAAAATCTAAGTTCAACGTATCGACGAAATTAAATGTAACTTATCTTTGCAAATTGCCATTATTTTTGTTTTAGTAAATTGTTGTTTGACTAGAAGCAATTTATTTATTTTGTTGAATAAATGCAAGATCAATCATTGAAAGTTGAGTGGAACATCCAAACTAGGAAGGCTCCCATCAAGCGACTCTCACATGAAGATCTTGATTTTATTAAATGAATAAAAAGATTTACATGTGTCCGAATTGCATTTCCTTGGAGGTAGGTTTGGATTGTGTTAACAATGATGGTAACGCATCTACATTTCAATGGTAGCATTTTTTGTCATGTTTGCCATTTTTCTTATTGGTTCCTCTTTTTTTTTTTTTTTTTGCATCAATTTGAACAGAGAAGTGGTACTAAAGGTATTTGCAAAAATCACTAGTGTACAATATTAAAGAAAATACTATAATGATGAATAAAGTGTCAATCATAGGATTGGCCTTTTAAATATCAATGACAAATGCTCCTACCTTTTTATTTGACCAAATTTAAAAACTCAAATCAGTGGATGATTTCTAAGGTAAACTAAAAATTTAAAGAAAGCAATTAATGAATTTAAAAACTTTGATTCCAAAAAATATGATGAAATGAGGCACTAGGAATCATGATTTTACCGCAGACATGTGTCCAGTATAACTTCGCCGGTCACATTAAGGCAATATCTTATTCATTTTCCAACTGAATTTCTCAAGTTCAATGAAAAATCTCTCCAAATAGAATTAATAATATGTGTTTTATGTGAATTAAAAGTTTCATAATAATTACGACATATTGTTAGGAATTAGTAACGTGATTATATGGCATAATATGAATAGCAATTACAACACAGGAAGAAGATAAGAAATTTGGCAGCGGAAAGGAGAATTCATTATAATATGGAAAAAAAATACAAAGATATTGTATCTAACTTATCAAACTTGTAATGAAGAGTCAAATATATATAGGATACATTGTCAAACCCTAATTATAATGTCAAAGATGGAAAAAAAAAATCAAGAAACACGTGGAATAAAGAAAACAATCTTCGACCAGAACACAACGGTGCTCGGCGCTAGTCTCGCGGTGAGCTAGCGCCAAGCTCCCTGCTTTGAGTGCTTGAGCAAGAGCTTAGCACGTAGCAAGTGGAAAAATACCAAAATAATTCTTTGGTCCATATTTTGACATCTTCAAGACATACTTTAACTAATCCACAAAAATCCAACCGAATTTAGGTCAAACTTCTAACACATAAAAAGATGCATTCCATCAATAAATACTCTTAAGTTTGAAAGACGTGCAATGCCATCCAATAATACATGGAATAATCAATGACCAATTATAAGTGAGAAGAGAAGACGTATGATTGAAGTTTATTCCTACTACATATACTTGAGACTTTTTGCTTTTTAGAAAAGCAAACTCCTAAAAGTTAGCCTTTGTTCATGCATGTTTCTTGAAAACTTACTAACATTTTTCTTTTCTATTCCATCAAATTTAAACATTAATGTCAACCAACATTCAAAACTATTGACCATTATTCACATTTCATGAAATCCACTACTATTCCTCTTAAAAGGTTACTAACAATTTCACTTGAATAGAGACTTAATTAGAGTTGAGCAAAATGATGCTACTAAACTATCATGTATAAAAGTGTTCAAATATTTTATATTTTTACTAAAACAAGAGTGTTATAATATTACATACTAAAACCAGGCATAAATCATTTCAAGCTAGCTAATAATAAAGTCAAACAACAGCTCAAGACACGGCATCAAATTAATATTTGCACCAAGATCACATAATACTAGGTCAAAAGTAAAGTTACCAACGGTGCACAACATAGTAAAATCTTCTCAATCTGTTTAACTTTGAGGATTGAAATTGATACGTAATTTCTTGAACACCTCCAAAAATTTCACGAATTGATTATCTAATTTTTGCTTCTACAACCTTTGTGGAGATGAAATAGAAGGCACGTGCTTTGATAGGAATTAATATCTTGGCCCCTGAATTTCTGAACACTTTTTTTTTTCCTTATGCTTGTTCGAATCGTTCCACTTGCTTATCATCGGTGGTGGATATTTTATTCTCCGTCACTACTTGTTTCTGTAGAGAAAATATACTCCAAGTTCCACCAAAAATCGGGCTCAGTATTAATCAATCAACGCCACAACAGAAAACCCAATCCACAAACCCACTAACCAAACGGTTGCTCAAAGTTTCTACCCACAAAGAGAACTTTGGATGAAGAGTACTATAGCCACAGGTCAGCCACAAAGGCCAAAGAGAGGGAGAAGAAACGGTAGCACACAGTCACTACGAAAAGGCAGAGAGCACAAAGTCAATAACCGTCGTTTTTCTCTCAAAGTAAAGGCTATCAATCTTTCATAACATCAACATTAACGGGCAAGGGGCATATATAATGGTTGGTCATAAGATTTTAGGTTAGGCCCAATAGGAAACAACAAGTGGGTTGTCAACACATAAAAGTCTTTCAAGTTTGGGTTGGGCCATGAGCAGCACTAATTAAATTAGACTGTTTCAAATGACTCAACTAGATTATGGGGTTGGTTTACCAAATTGTGATGCTGATATACCTTTAGTCATTTAGTCGATACCGACTAAATTAAACAATACTTACATCATTGCACAGGGAGATCGTTTGACAACAATTTGCCTAACAGCTTTTTGGCTTTAATTCCTTGCAAACTTGTTGTAGTGATGGCTTGCACCTACTCTTTTTTATTAGTTCCAG